CTCTTTCCGCCACAGTTACAGACCGTTGTCAGTTCGTATATATTTTATTATTTTATTATATTATTTTTTTGGGACCAATTTCGGTCCGCTTATTTTAATTTTTCAATAACCATTTATATTTCTTACTGAAATATACGGACCGATTGTGGTCCGGATAGTATATATATACGGACCGATTTTATGTCGGTCTGTATATTATATTTATTCGTACCAGGTTTTTTCAGATCAACTATAGGGACCAATATCGGTCCGTATATATATATTCAGACCGATTTGTAATATATCCAGACCGATATTTCGGTTTGAATATGCGATTCCTGCAGTAGTGGATGCGAACAGCTTTGGGTGGCTACCCGTGTCTTCTACTTGTGAACAGCAGATTCGGCTCTCTCTGTGTGTTGAGTTTTAGGCAGCTGCGTCCTTCCTTCTCAATGTACAGAGCAATTTCGAGTCCCTCTCTTCTCTCTTTTTTTGGTGTGTCGAGTAGGATATATATAAAAAATTAGAAACTCTTATTTCTTCTTAGCCCTAGCAAACATGGGCTTTATTTTGGGCCTGGAATGTTCTCGGCCCACACCTTGGCAACACAGCCCAATTCTCTTTATTTTCTGCAATTTGTCCACTATCGAATCATGCAATTCAACTGAAAATCTGTATTGATGCAAATAGAACTTGGTTGAGCTCATAAAAGATCAATTGTAGCTCTACTTCTTAGCTTTCCAACGCCTCAAGAATCATCTCAATCCGATGCCTGAAGAAAAAGATATGGTTAAATTACTACAGCTTGTGCAAATTGTCACTTATTGAAAAATTAATTCCTATCTTAATTTTCACCTACAAACAATGAAATTAATGTAAACCAAGGTGCAACTAAGTTACAAAGGACCCAAAAAATTAAATTCTAAGCTCAAAAAGGGTAGATAAATGCATATCAAAATTAAACTCATCAATAAGCCTTCTCAAAGTCAATTTTGAAAATGGGGCTCTTTTTCTTCTTTTGGATCTCATCAATGATTTTGTTGGCCACAATAACGCTATCCATTAGCTGTCTCCCATGTATGAATGTAGATTGTTGTTCACTTATTAATCCCTCCATCACCTTTTTTATCCTGTTTGCTAGTAACTTTGCAATGATTTTGTACATACAACCAATTAAAGAAATTGGCCTATAATCCTTGACTCTTACCAGATTCTCCTTCTTCGGTATTAAAATAATGAATGATGCATTTGAACCTCTAACTAGCTTCCTATTCTTTTGAAAATCATCAACAAAACTTATTACGTCATTTTTCACTGTCTCCCACATTGCTTTTAGAAAACCAAAATTAAAACCATCTGGTCCTGGTGCGTTGTAGTTGTCACAGTCCCACACTGCTTCCTTTATCTCCTTTTTTGTAAATTGTGAAACCAACATTGCATTTTGTTCAGGTGTCACCTTCTTAAAATCAATTCCCTCCAATCTTGGTCTTTCCCACTCCTCCTCTGTGAACAGTGCCTTGAAGTACTCTGCGACACCTTCCTTCAGATCTGTAATGTCCATCAAATGTCTGTCTCCACCTCCAAGTAGTTTATTTCATTTCTATGCTATCTACCTTTGATGCATTGATGAAAAAACTTTGAATTTGCATCCCCAAATTTAAGCCACTGGGTTGTTGTTTTCTGTCTCAACATGTAATCTTTTGCTTGCAGCTTTTGCCACAGATCCACTTCACTTTTCTTTTTCAATTCTAGCTTTTCTTCAGTCAGTGTGTGAGCTTCACCTTTAACATCTAGTTTGGAGATCACCTCCCTGCATTCTTTTATTGTTTTGTCCAGCTCACTGAAATGCTCTATGCTCCACTTTTTAAGGAATGCTTTGGTTGCTTTAAGTTTCTCTTTAAAGATAAAACTGCCCCTTCCTTGCACCTCCATTATTCTTCACTCCTCTGCTACCTTTTCTTTAAACTCCGGATGCCCTAGCCAAGCATTGAAAAAGCGAAATGGCTTTGGTCCCCAGTTCTTCATCTCATTTTTCAATAGCACCGGGCAATAGTCTAAAATGCTCCTTTTTAATCCCCACTACTTCAAACACTACCATGTTGTAAGCCATTCCTCATTCATTAGGAATTTGTCTAGATGACTCATAGCTTTCTCGTTGGTTAATACCAAGTGAAACTTCTCCCAATCATTGGCAAATCAATCAAACCTATTTCTGCTATAAAATCTTTAAAACCCTCCATCTCTTTGCGATTGCCTCGACAACCTTTTCTTTCCTCTTGTGAAATAGTGACATTAAAGTCACCTCCCACACACATAGCTGTCACACTGTTATTGGCAATATTGCTCAGATTGCACGACAAATCTCTTTTACCATTATTGCCACAAGGGGAATAAACATTTATAATGTAACAAGGGACCCTCTCAGTACCCCAAAAACCATAGATGCCCAGCAAAATTGGCTCCTGGAGTGACTTATCAAGTACAAAGATCTCACGGTTCCATAAACATAATAGTCCTCCTGCACTACCTTTGGCATTCTTAGCTACCCATTCGAAATTTTTAGTACTCCACATTTCTCTACATATGCCTCTATCTACATTACCTATCTTTATTTCTTGCAGCATTAGAAACTCGACTTTCTCCTTACCCACCAATTTCCTAATCTCCCTCCATTTCCACCCACACCCTATTCCTCTTACATTGTAAGACACTAAGATCATCAAAACGTACCTTCCTTTCCAAGGTTGCATGTTTGTATAGTGGGCATCTATGATTGTCTACCCCTCTCCTCCAATTGCTCCAGTCTCCGTAATATACTTTCCTCATTCCTCTGTGTCTCAACACCAATTGATTGTGCAAATTCCCAACTTTCTCTTGCCCCAAAATCCTTCTTGCACTTTAAGATGGCCTTGTTGCAATTGTTGATGTTGTTGTCATCTATTAACTCATCGACAATTGCATGATTCACATCGGGAAGGAACTTCGGCATAGACATGTCTTTCGATTGCTTCTCCCTTGATCTTCCTCTTGTTCTTCTTCCTTTCCTTGCTTCTATTCTGATTAGCTTAGCAGCCTTGTAAACAGCCGCACATGACTTGGCCCTCTTACTCTTTTTACTTCTTTGTGGTTTTTCCTTCCCCCTCATCCAATCTTGCACTGTCCCCAAGTCGTTATCCATATCCTGGAAAAATGATCTCAGGCTATCAACCTCACTTGTATTGTTTCCAAGTTTTTTATTCTTCATCATCATTGGCCCAATGTTGCTGCTGCTGGACTGGTTCTCGTTTCTGTTAGAGTGCATTATGGCCTTTTCCTTGTTTTGGGCCACTTCTGCATTTACTTTGTGTTTCTTTCCTGGCCCATCTGCACCTAGCCCAATTTCACCTTGATCCATTGTTCTGTTGCTGGTTTGGTCCATCTTTAAATTGGTGCCTATTTTTTCAACGGTAGTTTCTTTACTCCTACTATAGTTTTTTCTAGTTTCTTCTTCTTCGTTAATCCGGCCTACATCATTACTTTTTTCAAAAGAAGCAGCCGTCATCTCCATTCTCCTATATCCATATGACATTTCCTTCATTATTTTCCAGCTAATATTTGAAATTCTCCCCTTGGGAATGCTATTCTCTAATGCCTCATTTAATGTTTGAGTTGGCCAAACATCATGTGATAGACTCTCCTTTTTGCCCTCCTTTACCCATTCATGCCAAGGTGCCACATAGTTGTCTTCCTCATCTCCAGTTTCAGAGAAGCTTGAAAATCTTTTAATCTCGCCTTGAACAGAACCTGTTGCTTCCACCGAACCAAGTGACCATGACTCACTTTACTTATCACTACTGGACATACTATTGGGCACATGATCGGACCTCATGGTGAATAAATTGTTGGAATGCTCTTCCTCTACACACTTGATGTTGTAGAATTCCCCATTGATTTTCATAGTTATTTTCTTTGAAATTACCTCCATGCAAGATGTAGAAATTAGGACTCTGCCAACATCAAATCTCTTTTTGTTGCTGGTACTTTCATTGAGAGAGATGAATTTTCCCCATAGCATGCTGAGATCATGGAAGAACTTTGGTCCCTATGCATGTAAAGGTACCCTCTGACATTTTATCCACGTAAACCTCTCCGTTGCAACCATAGATGGTGACTAGGGTCTTACTTCATCAAACCATTGGGCTAACCAATCCCTTATGGTTGTCACTAAGTTTTCCAGCTGTTCTCTATTAGCACATTGCATCAAAACCAACTTCCCACCCATTGGTTTTAATGAGACAGAAAAGTATCCCTCCATGTAGAATTTTTCTTGAATTGTTGGGACAATCTCTATTGCTCGAGCTGTTCCCACGAAGCTACCTTTCACCCATTCAAAATCCGACTCCTCAACTTTGAACTCCTACCCACGCCATTCATAATCTTTGCTTTTTGCTACCCATTCCCTTTTTCCCTTCTCCCTATGGTTGGCATTCATGTATTTCCCTGTGTGGTTCCTCAATTGCCCTGGAGCAGTAGCCTGGGCAATCCCCAATCTGTTCATCTTGATCCTTTGAGAACATTTGCATAGGACAAGTTTGGTTGCCTTCTTGCTTCAGATCTGATGGTTTCAGTTGCACTTTTCTGAGCTCCTTCCTTCAGTGTTCTAGCTTGTCTATCAAACCTTGGTTGATTTACATGGATCTTGACTCCTCCTACTTTGATATGATCTAGCTCCTTCTCCAACATACTCACGTTTTTCACCTCTTGAAACCTGGCAAACCTAAACCGTCTTCCATATCTGTCCTTCCTGTTTGGTACATAGATATCAATAACTCTGCCATATCCACTAAAAGCTCTCCACATTTGTTCATGGTTCCAATCCTCCATGAAGTTGGTGAAGAAGAACGGAACAGATTGATTGTATATAGCTCTGTCTATTCTCTAGTTTGGTTGGAAAACCCTGCCCCTACCTTGATGATTGTAGTGATCCCAACTCCAAGCTATTCGTCTTCCTTGCTTCTTGGTCTCTCGCTCTCTACTTCTGCCTCTCATGTTTTTCCTATTAACCTACAACAATCCATCAATCACATGGAAGTATTAGGCTATTTGAATGATGGGTGATCTATTTGAAGCCATAAACACTATCTAAAGATTCCAATTCATATTTCTTCCTTTTTGTTTATAAGAAAATGCTAGGCGTAGAATATGCCATGTTATGTACAAGAAGACGACATGTCATTTTGTGATTATATTGTTTTTATTTATTATACTATATGCATCTACTTATTTACTGTTACATTATACTGTAATTAATATTTTTTTAACAAAATAATA